TTTAATTAGCTAAACAGATCATGATTTTATTAGTATTAATAAAGTGCAATAGTTAGTTTCTGAGAAATAAGAGGGTGTCACTTTAGGAGACTTATGTCAGTATCGGCGACTTTCCTCTATAAATAATAAGAATATTATTGGTACATGTGTGGAAACAACCAATAAGTAATAAAAGCTCAAACAGTTGAAGTTGGATCTATAATGCTTTAAATAATATAATTTCTTGTGAATTTGTATATGTATACTATATATGTACAGTCGTAGACGGAACGATTGCAACACTTTTTTTTCAATCGGGTTCTGAATGCAGTCTGCTCACTAAGCGATTGGTTCTTACTTATAGATCATAAGTAAAGCCGGCAGCACATGATGCTTGTTTTCTTGCTGGATTCCTAGCTGGATTAAAATCTTGCTATCGTATTGGCTGCGGTATTGATAGTGTTAGCATCATAACCAATACGGCGGCAAAAATTTATTCTAGCTAGCAATCCAACAAGAAAACAAATATCGTGTGCCACCGGCTTAAGAACCAATCGCTCAGTGAGCAGACTGTATTGCGAAACTCTTTGAAAAAAAAGTGTTGCAACCGTTCTGTCCACGATTGTACATATATATATACCATATTTGTAATCATTTGAATTGCGCACTGAAATTTTTTCGGATTTTTAAAACAGAGAGGCAGAACTATTGTAGTAATATCACAATTAAATTTCCAATAAAATTTTTATTGTTTATATTACGTCGCATAAAAAAGACGTTTGTTTCCACACATAAACTGATTATTGCGAAGAATATTGCTAAGACCTTGTCGTGGTCTAAAGGCTTAAGACCACGACACAAAGAAAAATTTAAGGCGTAAGATTTAATTTAATCAACCAATTATAGTACAGACCGTAAAACTATAACGTGAGCAGTAGCGAATCTAACATGTTGATTTCCTTAATTTTTATTAATTTGTTTAAGACTTACGTCTTAAATATTTTTATGTGCTAGGGCCTTTAGGACGCTCACACGGAATCCGAGTTTGACTCTCGGCTCGAGGTAATATTTTTTGCAATAAATAAATTTATTTACAGATTTTCAGCATATTAAGATCTCTTTAATAGATGTCTATTGAGCATCAAATTTAATTGTGATATTACTACAGTAGTTCTGCTGCGTTTTAAAAAATCCGGAAGAATTTCGGCGCGCAATTCAAATGACTACAAATATAGTATATATGTATGTACATATATAGTGTATGCAAATTCACATGAAATTATTTAAAGCATTGAATCCAGCTTCGACCACTATGGGCATTTATTTCCTATTGGTTGTAATTTATATAATTTTTATATGTGCATTCTTTATAATTTTCTAATTTAATTTTTCAAAAACTTTCTTGCTATAATATTTTAAGCCGCGAACTTTAGGGATCCAATTCATTTCAATGGATACTACATTACGTGAAGACTCACATAGGAATCAACATGATTTCTTATATAGGAATCCACATAAGACCTAGATTTTTTGCTCAAATCCTCATGGGATATGAAATCTCATATGAATTTCCCATATGGATTCCTACCTGGTTTTTTCAACAGGGTAATATGAGATATGTTACCACACAAAATCTGAAGCTGGAATTTGGAGCTATAACGCAGGAATGGTTGTTAATTCATTCACGTTTAAATTAATTCTAAAAATTTCAAAACTTTTTTATTTTAATTTCTTTTTTTTTTAATTTTAGAGGGACTTTAATGGTTCTCTAATGCAATTGTTATGGCGAGTATAAGCCGCGCGGAATAATGAAGTGAGAGTGTAAATTATTAAGTATTTCATTGACAATGAGAAGAAAAGCATAACGACGTCATTATTGTTAGCATAAGATATCTAGAATTATTATTTTACTATATTACTACGATTACTATTATCATTATTATTGTCATTTTCATGATTAATAATATAATTTTATTAATATCAATTATTATTTATAATTATTATAAATCGCGTACGTGCCAGTGAGATAAAAATCATTTTGTTTTAACTGGCGTGTAGAACTGATTACATATAAAAGTATCACTTTTATTTAAAAAAAAAAACGAAACGCTATTTCACCGCGCATTTTACACTTTGTTATTTTGTTATAGAACCATCCGAGAATTTTCCTCGTGAAATCAAATGAGAGCAACCTATTTCGAAGTACAAGCGGAGAAAATCCTTTCTTAATTTTAGAGCGTTGTGAAAGTAGTATAAAAATTTATTGTTTTTGTATTTATAAAAAATTTGATGTACATGAATAAAAAACTGTGAGTTTACAAATATGTGATCGTTTAATATCTTTCTTTGTTGGTGATTTTTTGTAATTTTACATATAAGGAAATCTGGAGGTACTTATTGATCTCCTTTGGAAAATTGATATCTACCTATTATTCTGATACTGGAAAGTTCTAATTTTCTGTTATATTGCCAATAATGTTTATTCTTAAAGACAGGAAATGTCAAATGTGATTTTGATAACACTGATAATAATAGAGAACAGGTATTTTATCTTCCGAAATGTCTTTTTCGTAAGTAGGGTAGACCGGGGAGTAAAGGTCCCCGGGGAAAAAGGTCCACCCCTTGTATCTCGGTAATAAGGCATTCACTAGAAAATTCCGCCACACAGTTCGTCAACTAAGAGTAAGTATCTTATGTCACACAGTTCGTTACTGCCTAATAACCGTCAGGAAACTTGCACGGATGTGCTCATGTATTTGAGAGCCAAAAGTAAGATATTAGCACCGCAGTTATTTTGATCTGAAAGGATTATTTTTGCACCTAGATAGATTAAATAAGTGTATTTATTAAACTTATTCTATTGTTTTAACATTGTGATTATTAGAATTGTTATTTCTATTATAGTTTTTTAATAACAATGCCGCAAAATTTACGTGACTTGTTGGGGTAAAAAGTGCCATGGTTGTTGGAGTAAAAGTGCCACGGTTGCTCTGTATTCGTTAATGTTGATTCTATAACAAGTCGATAATCCTAAGTCGATAATCTTATCAGTGAAGTTGACTAATAGTCAACAGTACGAAACGTTACCGATTACTTTCGATTACGACTCATTATAGAATTAGCATTAGTGGTGTTCGTTACGCAGAGAGATAAATTATTCAGAATGCGACTTTCATCTCCGATTTCGATGAAATTAGGCTTATTCGACGCGTCTATATTACTGTAATAATGATGACGAATGATTTTATCGCTTAATTATCTTTTATAACAAATATTTTTCCAAATTCGTTATAATCATTCATTATTGGAAGACTGATTTAATTTTTTATTAAGGTCAAAATGACTTAAAAAATCAAGTATAAGAGGAAAGACTATTCTTATTTGTTTTCGAGCACGATATAGTGCAACCCTTACGAAAAAAAATCTGAAAATTTCAGTGTTTATACTCAAATTTGAGTGTAAAGCCCAAATTTTTGGAGTTTACTCTGAAATTTGTGTGTATACACTTAAATTGTGAGTATTTACACTCAAACATTGAGTATATACACTCAAAGATTGAGCGTTTACAACGTTCACACTCAAGTTTGAGTTTACACACTAAACATCTAAAGGTTGTCCTCAACACTTGGGTATGACACGCAATAAATGAGCGTAAATCCTAAACCTTTGAGTGTCTTCAAAATTGAGTATATAAACTTAACAGTTATATTTGAGTTTTAATTTCCATGATTAAGATAAATGCCAAAATATTAAATGTAGACGCCCGTAAATATTTGAGTACTTAAAAATAATGGCGTTTACAATTTAATATTTGTTCTGAAATTTTAATTTGTTTTGAAATTTTTATTTGTTTTTATTTGTTATAAAATTTTTATTTGTTTTTCAGAAATTTTTCTTTGTTTTGAAATTTTAATATTTATTTCTTTTCCTATAATAATACTTCCTCCATTGTACGTAGGATCTAAGGGTGAAATCACACGGTGCAGAAAAGAAAATATGTCACAAAAGTAACCAATCAGCTTTATTCTGCGTTATTCCGAATAGTGCTAATTGATTGTTCAATTGGCGCATTCAGCGGACTCAACAGTTGAGTG